TTTCTTGTCAATTTAATGTCTGTTAGCAAAATCACCGATCCTTAAGTTATTTTATCACATTCTTACCTGATTTTTTGCCTTTTGCAGGACTTGGCAATGAAGAAGACGATTGAACTGGGTAAGCAGCATGATGGCCTATATTACTTCTTCATAACGAATGCCATTCAACCAACTCCTCTCACCTGTAACATTTCTACCCAGCATGATTTATGGCACAAGCGTCTTGGTCAACAATCAATAGCTCGGTTGTAGCAGCTAGCTACATTTATTCTTGAGATTTCCTTTAGTAATAATAAGCAATGTGGTATTTGTCCTTTAGCCAAACAAACTAGATTGACCTTTGCTATTAGTTCTATTTCTACTACTGAACCATTTGAACTAAGGGTCCTTATAAAATAGCCTCTCATTCAGATGCCCATTATTTTTTGATGATTGTGGATGACTTTTCACGATGTACATGGGTATATTTGATGCATTTCAAATCTGAGGCACAAGGATTGTTAAAATCCTTCTTTGCATTTGCTCAGACTCAATTCAATTATAGAGTTAAATAGATTCATGTCGATAATAGCTGTGAGTTCTCTTACATGTGTAAATTTTTTCAATGAGTTAGGTGTTCTTTATCAACATTCATGTGTTTCAACACCCCTACAAAATGGGATAGTTGAACGCAAGCATCGCCATCTTTTAGAAATGGTATGAGCTCTTAGATTTCAATCCTATATGCCACTGATTTTTTTAGGAGAGTGTGTTCTTACAACAACTTATATTATCAATTGTTTGCCAATACTTATTTTATCAAACAAATATGCCTATTGGGTCCTTCATAAGAGAGCACCACAATATAGTCATTTGCGTGTCTATCTTATGCAACCAATGTTAACCCCTACGATAAATTTGATCAACGGGTTCGAAAATGCATTTTTGTTGGATATCCTTTAGGTCAAAAGTCCTATCGACTGTATGATATAAATACCAAGCAATTCTTTTCTAGTCGAGATGTTGTCTTTCATAAAGACAATTACCCTTTCTTAGGAACTTCAAAAGCTATGCAATCTGATGAAACTATTCTATCTTTAATGCAATTGAGCACCATAATCTTGATATCAATGAGTCAGTCCCTTTTGAATATTTGACACCCATGGCTACTATAGATTTTTCGATTGAACGCTCAATTGCTCCACCAAATGATTTAGCTCCACATCATTCGAAATGTCCAAGGCAACCTTCCATTTGGCTTCATGATTATCATTGTTCACAGACCACGCTGACTACATTAGGACAATCATCTAATTCGAAGCCACCTGCAACTAACGATACTCATTACCCTTTGTTAAATTTCATTACCTATAGTCGACTATCATCATCTCATTGTTCTTTTGTTGCCAATATTTCTCGTTCTGTTGAACCTAACACATAGAAAGACCCAAAATGGCAGCAAGTTATGGAATCTGAAATTCAAGCACTTGAACAAAACAACACCTAGATTCTCATTTCTTTACTAGCTGGAAAGAAACCCATAGGTTGTAAATGGGTATATAAAATCAAATACAAGTCTGATAGGTCTATCGAGCGCCATAAAGCACGCTTGGTGGCCAAAGGATATACACACATTAAAGGATTGGATTATCATGAGACCTTTGCCCCGATTGCGAAGCTGGTCACATTTTTGTGTCTCCTTACTATAGCCTCATCATGACACTGGTTGCTTCACCAATTAGATGTTAAAAATGAATTTCTTCATGGTGACCTTGATGAAGAAGTATATCTGCTACCCCTGTAGGATATTGCCGATAGGGGAAGAACTTAGTATGTCAACTAAACAAATTATTATATAGGTTGAAACAGGCATCGTCCAACTGGTTCTCAAAGTTTTCCATGGCCATACAATATGCTAGTTTCATGCAATCCAAAGCAGATTATTCTCTATTTACTCCCAAATTTGGACTTCCTTCACTGCCATACTAATTTATGTGGATGATATGATAATCACAGGAAATGATCCATCCACTATTGACACACTCAAGAAGTTCCTTCACAATCGATTTTGAATCAAAGAGCTTGGGGATCTCAAATATTTTTTGGGAACTGAAGTTACACGCTCTAGTTGTGATATTTGTATCTCACAACGCAAGTTTACCTTAGATATACTTGATGACATGGGTTTGCTTGGAGCACGCCCATCTGCATTTCTTATGGAGTAGCATTTGAAATTAACTCCTTCAGATGACAATCTACTGCATAATCCGTCCCATTATAGAAGGCTTGTGGGTCGACTTATCTATCTCATAATCACTAGGATGGACATAGCTTATTCAGTACATGTTCTAACCCAATTTATGCACTAGCCAAAGACCACATCTTGATGCAACGCTACGTGTTATGCGTTGTTTAAAAGGGACACCCGGTCAAGGATTGTTATTCCCTACTCAAAACAACTTGACTTTGAAGGGATATTATAACTCAGATTGGGCAGGCTGCTCAACCACAAGAAGATCAGTAACTGGTTGTTGCACTTTCCTTGATGATTCTCTAATATTTTGAAAAACCAAGAAGCAAACTACTGTTTCTCGTTCATCCACTGAAGCGGAATATAGCGCTATGACATCTGTTACTTATGAGCTTTCCTTCTTACGTTACCTTTTATGTGATTTGAAAGTAACTTGCTTGGCACTGACAACTTTATATTGTGACAACCAAGCAACTTTGCACATTGCAGCAAATCCTGTGTTCCATGAATGGACTAAACACATAGAAATAGATTGTCATCTAGTCCGAGAGAAGATTCAATCTGGAGTGATATCGACTAATTACACACCTTCTTCTCTTCAGGTTGTAGACATATTCACCAAGCCCTTACGGAATGTGGCTTTCCAATCTCTCTTGCGCAAGTTAGGTGTTCTCAATATTCACGCTCCAACTTGAGGACGAGTGTTGTGATATGTGTAGATATGGGCCAATTTATTTATGTAGATATCTTTATCTATTTTTCTGTTTGGATTGATATGGATGTAGCGTATCCATATCCTAAGGGATAGGCATAATCAGTTGTTTCTTTTATGTGTACATCTCTATATATTTGTACCAACTTCATCAATAAACACAACTGGAAAATCAATTCATTCCAGATTTTTACACCGCCGGCCACGGCTCACTGCAAAACCTCCACTAATCTCTTCCTTGTTCTTCCAGAAACACAACCCAATCAACCAATTAGCTCAAAACAACCCCAATCTACAAACCCATTTCATCAAACCCTAACATCCAAATCTTTAAAAATGCAATTCATATAACTATGATACATAAAACACAATTCTAACAATACCAGTAGCTTTCAAACATCAAAATCAATCTAATAGTATACCTTTGATCGCTCGAATTTTCTTCCCAAGAAAACTTAAAATTATGGATGTATTTCTCTCTCTCTCTCTTCCCCATGGTTTACACCCTCCTCTTATACCGAACCCCCCAGCAATCCTCTCCCAAGCTGTTGGCGGCAAACATGCAACAAAAGGCCTCCTCCAGCATGCCAACAAGCTACCATGTGAGGTGCTTCGTGCTTGCCACTCAATGGCATTTCTGTAATTTTATATTTTGGCAAATTCTAAAAATTAATTAAAAATAATATATTTTTTTTCAAAATTACATATATATTAAATCAAGCACTAGAAAATTATTGGTTTAATTTTTGGACATTGAATTAACTCACAATTTGATCTGCAAACAAAATTCTCGCATCCCTAACTCTCTAGTACGCGTTAATCCTAACTCATCCAATTGTGCTTCCCAACTAATTTTCTCTTCACTAGTCAAATTCCTATCCTCAATAGACGGCCTAATTATCCACGTAACACCCACTCACACATTCCAGGCTATAAATTCATAGCTCGGCTCTCTGAATTCCTAATTGCACTCACACGTATTGTTGTCTCAATTCTCGATCACCGAACACTAAGTTGTTAAAATTATAAAGAGATTTATGTTTAAGCAAAAAAATTTAAGATGATAACAATAGTTGTGGTTAGCTTAGATAACGAGCATCTTCATACTCATTTTATTTTACAATAATAACTGACCAAAAAATCCTACCAAGATAAAAAAGAGCCTCAAATTCAACTTAAAGACAAAAATTTAGAAATTATAACAATGAAGAGATAAATAATTAACTACTCACTTGATTTGATAACTAAAGATCTCAAGTTCATGAAATCTCAAAATAATCCCAGAAAACGATATGCAAGGCAAATAACAATTCAACCTGAGAAAAATCGTATGCATTGTGGATAAAAAGTATAAAAAAAAAATTACTGAAGTCTTCGCACGACGTTTTAAAGAGAGAAATTAAGAAAAAGGTAATTGTCATATGAGAGGAAGATGAGGATGACATCCCCATATATTCCTTTTCGTATATATGAATTAGGAGAAAGAATATATTTTTTACACTAAATAAAAGTTCCGAAAAACGCAAAAACAATCAGATCAAATTTGAGACCATAAAAAATTCATGTTTTAGTGGCCCTTGTGGTGTGTTATTTAGGTAATCCCACGCAAGCCTCCTCAACAAATAAAAAAAAAGCCATATCAAATTGGCCCTAAAGAAAATAGTTTGTACTTATCCTTCCATGTAGGATGGCATTGCTGCAACATTACCAACTACAACAAAGTGATGGGATTTGAAGGGTGGCTGAGAGTATAGTTTCGCAGCAAAGATGTGGCATGTTAGTAAGTTGACTTAAGGAGTGATGCTATCTTTCACTCCCAGATAGCCTTGTCAATGTCATTTTTGCTTCTGCTTCTTAAACAATTAGTATCTCTTCAATAATTCTTCCTTTTATGATCATTCAACAGATATAGACAAGGGCACCGCCCATCATTCAGCAATTTTTAGACACAGAAAATTTCACTTTTGTAAACTATGAGTCACCCCTTTTTGCATAGAGAGAGAGAGAGAGAGAATTCTTAGACACAGCAAATTTCACTTTTGTAAACAATGAGTCGCTCCTTTTTGCATTAAGAGAGAGAGAGAGCCCACAAATATAAAGCAGCCAATGACTTTTCTTCCCTCTCAAAAATAAAAGCTTTCCACCAAGCTATAGAAGACAACCAAACATAATCCACATCAACTTGCATTCCAATTACTCCAAATAAAATGTATACATACCCATCCATCCCCTTTAAATGGTCCTACCATCCACTATCTAAAAGTGAGAATTTCCACCATGAGTGTTTATTTAGGTCATCCACCACTAACCCCACCACTGACATCAGGAGAGGAGGGCATCAATTAGCATTGACAAACTAATGTCGCCTTTCCATTTTTCTCCGAGGCGATCATGCCTTGTTTGACAAAAGTGGGAAAAGAATTCAGCACTGTGACTTTCATAACCTGCTTGAAATTTTTTCCAGAAAAGCAGCTTGAAACTAGACTGACCCATTCTTTCCTGGTACAAGAATGGGACAGTTGACGGATGTGGGACCCGAAAATTGGTGAAATTGGTTGTGAAGGGCATAAGCAATTGCAATCTTGTTGGAGCCTATAAGTTGGTGTTTGATTCAGGCTTCACAATTGCAGGTTCATCAGATTGGTGTCCTGTGAAAATTGCATTGGCAAGGGATATGGGCATGATGCAGAGTGCCTTGGATTGAAGGAATTGCATTGCAGCTCCAATGTCTTCTTCCATTAACTTTGCTACTTGTTGCTCTGTGCCATTGGTCGACCACTTTTCCCAAGGTTGCTGACTTGTTCCACTTCCACCTTCCATGCCTTCTCCCTTGGTTACAAAATGATTTGGAAGTCCACAAAAGTGATAAGGAACACAGAAATAGAACATGCTATCGATACTGTAATGATGAAGCCAATAATTCCAACCCATTAATGAACTCAAAATAATGGCATGCATAGAAATACGTAGGTAAATCATATGACTAACCATAGCAAGCATCAATAAGGGACATAGCCACCAGGTTTTGTCCTTGACAAACACACATACGGGTGTGTTTGATTGAAAATTTACATTAAAGACATTTGATGCATGAATAGGATGCCAGATGAAATACACAGAAATATGACACAGGTGAAAACATCCCAAAAATTTTCCAGTTTTGATACCTCAACTGATGATAGGGGTACATCAGATACAAGCTGAGAAACTGCATGGGTTCCGCCCAATCTACTCATGCTCAAAACCTGATCAAATTTACCGAAGAGGATAAGAAACATAAAAATGTTGAGAGTAATAATAAGAACCTCGAATGAGGGAGGGTAACCATAACATAACTGAAAGGGATCGGATAGTAAATTTGTTAAACCATTATGCTCGGATATGAAGAAAAGAAACCAACACTTGGCTGGCTTTTGATAACAATAGTATTCTTCTAACAATATACCCTATTTACACCAACATATGTGTGTATTGCTTACATGTATCTAGCAAATACATGTATAAGAAAACTCACAACTCAACTCAACAAAACATTGTCCCAACATTTTGGGATAGTCATGTATAGGAAAATTTGAATGCATAATTATTAATCCAAAAATGCCTCCTGATCAAAACTCTCTTTGACACATCATCAAACACTTATTAATTTAAGATTGCAACTCCTAATAATGCACAAATGATTACAAATTTACAACTATCCGATACAGGGCAAATTTCTTGATTTTTTTACATCTAAATTTTAATTCAGTTGTGAATCCAAAATTATTTGTCAACCTGAAATAGCTGGGACAAGGCTCTGCTGAGTTGTAGTTGAGCTCCAAAATTATTACTTTGACTATGCATTTGATATGTTTGGCACTCAAAAAAAGGCAAGCAATCTGAATACTTTGCAATACATATCCAGCACTAGAGCTACATTTCTAATAAATTCTGACATTAATGATTAGTTTGCAGAAGTGCTTTAAACAATTCCCATTAAGGAGGTAGGGAAAGACATAAAGTAGCTAAAAAATAAAATCTCTTAGATTGTTTAAATCAAAAAATACCTTAACTTGGAGCCTTAGAAACTTCACATAATCCACAATTTCATCAAGCATGGCTGCCCTATCCGTCTACACAAATAATTTTGGGTTTTCAGTAATTGTGAATATACAACAATAACTAGTTGTTTTTCAACATAATCTAAGAAGAAAACATATTTAGAATGTTTTGTCATGTAACATGCAGCACATTAAAACCATAAGATAAGATGCAAACAGACTACTAATTATTACATGAACAAAGCAACCTTGCAAAACTTCCTGCAATCCAACTCAGTGTATAAGATTGAATGCAGCTTCATCCCTAGAAAATATTATTTTATATGGGTAAAGGAAAGATCAAACGGATATGGTTTTCAAGCAGAAATTGTGTTCACTTCAATAATATATCAGAAATATTTATTTAATAGCCAAGATTTACGTACTCCATCAAAGCCCTTAACATGTAGTAATCAGAACATGCTCATCATGATTTGCCTTCTGTTTGATGATAAACAAGTAGAAATTCCAGGCTAAATCATGTTGAAGCAGAAACACAGATGACATGTGCCACTCTTGCAAGATAGCAAAACAATAATCTTAGAATATCAAGATATGGAAAGTTGCAAATGGCAGAAGCCTGCCAAACTCAAGCTTAGTTTTGTTCAACCTGTTCTTCCTTCCCTGAAAGACTGCGATGAATTTTTTTTTCTGAACAAGGCTGTGTGCTTATAAAAAAAAAAATACTAAAAACCCACCAAGTATAATGCCGATTATCGTGATAGAACTTGCATGCAGCGCTAAGCAATATTGTGTCATTCTCAGTCAGTCCCAAAGCTTATCCAAATCAGTGATAAATCTAAATATGGGCATAAGAACAAAATAATGCTGAAATCCAGAAAAGCAAAGTTATCTGTCTAGTGAATCAATACTTAGATGAGATAAGTCAAAACTGCACTGCACATAACCTGTTAGAAGGTTATTCTCCAAGCATGTTACACTTTAGGTCTAGAGATGTGTTTTAAAACAAATAATGAGTCCAACTATTTTGTCAAACTTAGTACATGTTTAGATTTTTACACTGACAATAGTGCAAATAATGTGTTACCAGAACAGGCCAAGACAGATTTCAACCCTAATGCGTCATTCACAGGAAGAATCTTTCCACACTCACAGAGAGAGATAGAGAGAAAGATTTATATAATTAAAGTTTATGTGATACGATGTTCCCTGAGTTGATTCCATATGAACTCTATCTTCCCTTTTACTATCACTTTTCATTAGAATCCGGAAACACTGGATTTTTATTTCAGGTATGAACAAAACAAGAATCACTAATATTTGTGCAAGCTAGGAGCATAAAAGTACAAATTAAAATCTCAGAATGAGTGATATGAAAGAGTCAAGAATCTTACAATATGTCAAGAATATAAATTATGTGACTTAAGCTTGAAATTCAAGAGGTTCCTTTGAATGGTTAAAAAATAACCTGCTTCCACTGCAGGTATTTAAAAAGTAAATTCCTTGAGGAGGCCCTCACCTTGTTGCAACTGGGAACCAAATCCTGCAAAGCCTTCACTCTTTCTGTGATTCTTTCTCTGCGTAACTGCACCCAAAAGAGAAACCAGAAATCTATTATGCAATAGCCATAAAGATGCAGCCATGACAGATAGAAAATACATAGCAGAAATAAGTGTGCTTGTCAGGGACGATAATATTATCCTATTGCTCAACCTTTTATAATAAACCAAAAAGCTAATGGCAAAATACCCTCTATAAGTATGTATTCTTCATACATCAATTGATTAATTATCTATGGTTGTGAACTTTGTGGTGTCTCTTCCTACATCAAATGATAAGCAATTCCGCTGCTTTAGTGTTCTACTAGTGATGCAAACATTTCGCCAAATTTTGTTGGATAAAATCATACTCCTAGAATTGAGAACAAAAACTAAGTTTACCCTCTCAGCGATACTATGGGGATCTGTGGCCTGGCCTCGTCTTGCTCGCACCCTTGGTCGTAGGGCTGGTGGCTGTGGTGCGGTAGCAACTGCTCTAGTTGTCGGTAGGCCATGGAAAGGCTGCCAAAGAATTAACAGTCAATGTAAATTTATAGTTATAACATTACAGGGTCTTCTGTAATATTGGGCCCATTGAAGTCATAACATACAAATGAAAATAGCATTTAAAAAAAAAAAATCTGATAAATTAACCAATCAACAGATCCATCTGCATGAGCAAATCCAAAGGTTTCTTATCATGTTACCAACAAAGCATCTCATTTTTGTAATATGCATCCTTAAAACTAGTCCCCTAAAAATGTTCGCATTAGTTGCACGCTTGTCACTATCATTTTTTTCATAGGTCCCTTCATTATGTTAATTGGTTTCGCACTGCCTCAATGCAATACATGTTAGACTTCAGATTTGTATTGATGCCAGTGACACTAGGTGAGACAATTGAATTTACAACTGATTGATAAAAATGTGATTGAAATCGAGAAACTCTAAAATTTGAAGGATCCTGATCGGACTCTAAGACTAGTCAAACACATGGCAGCTGAAGAAAATGAACAGAATCCAAAGAAAAATCTCACTATCAGTATTGTCATTTCATATCCAAGAACCAGCAGGACAAATCTTTTTTCTTTTACTGAGAGCTCTAGATCATTCTGTTAGAGCAATTAATTAAAAGATGCAAAGAGAAATCCTTTTATAGCAGGGCAAAATAATACAGGAGAAATGACTATACTATCCCTCATACTAAAATACTCTAATACGTTCCACTTTTGCTACAATTCCTTTACTAACAAAAAATAAGAAACAATCAATCAAAGCATAGATATCTTCATTATAAATGTATTAATCTCAGTGGTACCTGGTGGAGTTGTGAAGGACTGGGTGCTGGAGGCCGAAGTGACTGAGTTGGAAATGGTCCAAAGGGTGGAAACAAACTTGTCAAATTCACCGACTCTTGTTCGTGCTACCCAGCAAAACAGAAGACCAAACTTTACCAAGGGTAAAAAAAAATTAAAAGCTTTATTACCAAAGCACAATAATGATTTCCCCAATGGTACAAGTAGACCATCTCCTCCTTATTGGTTGCTTCCCATGGTAGTAATTGCTCTCCGGACTCCAGCAAAGCTTTTCTCCACTAAAATTTCTTTTAAATCTTCAAGTCATGTAATTCTAGAGATGAGATTAATATTCATACTTTTCTTCGTTGGCCCAGGTAAGATAAGAGATACAGCTTGTATATCTATCTAACCATAAGTGTCACTTGTCATAACCCACAACTAAGCAGAAAAAAATCTAACTTTTTCTGAGCCATACGAAAAAAAAATAAGCAAAATAAGAACTTAACTTCATTAGATCCGCTAATGAATTCCTTTGTAAACAAGAATGTTAGGACCACTAACTTTATATGATTGAGAGCCGCTTCATTGCCAACTAAGTTTTAGCCAAATTAGTTTTTAGTTAGAATGTTTTCACATGGATCTTGGCTGATTAGTCGAGTCTCTCATTCATTTGAATTTCCTACACGCATGCCTGCCTATAATTTGCTTATTAGTGAGCTAGTCTCAAATCTCAATGGATGTGAAAAAAAATGTGAAGGGAACTTGTATTCCCATTGAAAGACTCAGGCCAATTAATGGTGATTTTATCTTTGGTTGGGTACTCTCAATTTCCATAATTGAAGATTTATTCATGGATTCTCAAACACAGCCAAATAATGTATTCTTCAAATTTAATGAAGCTTCTACTTGTTAATATTGTACAAATAAAAATTATTATTCACTAACTAAAAAAGGAAAAAATAACATCAGAAAATAAAATGTGTGTGTGTGTGTGAGAGAGAGAGAGAGAGAGAGAACTGACGTTGATTCCAGTTGAAGAAGAGGAAGAAGGACCATTGGCAGTGGTGGACCCATCCTGATGATGATGATGCTCCAAGTTCAAACCCAGCGGGGGTAAGACAATTTCCCTGAACCCGCCACCTCCATTTCCACCACCGGAACCCAACTGCAACGCCGCCATCGCCGGTGTTGCTGCAGCCAAACTGCTATCGTTTGCGGCATAACCACCAGAATCGTCTCCAGTTCCTGTACTGTAAGAAGACGGCACCGATAAAATTTGCTCGAAGAAGTCATCCCCTATTCCCTCCCCCTGATTACTCGCCATATATACAGTATAAACTACAATTTTGGTTTCGCCTGAGATCAATTATGCATGCAGCACCAAATTGGAGAGAGAGAGAGAGAGAGAGAGTGGGTTGGGACTAGGGACGCTGCAGGCGAGGAGGGCGGTTAGAGAGAGACGCGAGAAACGAAGATGTTGGAAAAAGAGGGGGCAGGCCGATAAAAGAAAAGAGGGAGTGTTTTTGCTTGTTGGGCTATGGGTGTTTCCAGAGAGAGAGAGAGGTTTGTCCTGTCTTCTCCTGCGTTGGGGTGGGGGCTGAGTGGAATTTGTAGAGAATAGAATGAGAAGAATGAGTGGAAGAAGAGAAGAGAAAGGAGAAATAATATTATATGGGTAAATTACACCACCATCCCTGAATTTTGTAATTTAATTATTTAGATTCTCTTATCTTTGAAATATTTACATTTACACCCCTAATAGTAACAATTACTTGACGGACGAAACGAAGTGAACCAAAAGACTAAAGTGTTGTTTGATAAAACTGAAAATTGAATATTAAATGTTGAATTTTAAGTATTGAATGCTGAATTTTTAATTCACAAATTGTTTATTATCAACTAAAATTTAAGTATTAAATTTAATTAAATTATTTGACAATTATAAGGAAGTGAATTATAAAAATTATTATTATTATAATTTGCCATTCTTTTTAACCATCTCTCTCAAGTGTCTTATTCCTATCACAACCATCACAATAGTGATGATAGTGGTGGCGGTCACGGCAGTGGTAGTGGTGGTGACATAATGGTAGTAGTAGCGACAATAATGGTGATGGTGGTGACAGTGGAACAATGGTAATACTGGCGACAACAATGGTGATGGTGATGGTGATGGTGGTGGTGGCAACAACACTATAGTAGTGGTGACAGCTACACAATGGAAGTATCGGTGGTGGTGATAGTGATGATGGTGGTGATGGCAATGACAGTGATAGTGATGGTGGCAGTGGAAAAATAATGGTGATGGTGGCGACGACAGTGATGGTGGTGGCACAATGATGGTTGTGGCGTTGATATAATGGTAGTGGTGGTGATAATGACACAATAGTGGTAACGGTGGTGGTGATGATGATAATGGTGGCGACAACAATGGTGGTGGTGGCAATGACAGTGGCACAATGGTGGTCGTGGCAGTGATATAATGGTAATGGTGGTGGAGGCAACTCAATGGTGGTGGCGGTGGCGGTGGTGGTGATGACGGTGGCACAATGGTAGTGGTAGCAGCAGAGATGGTGGTGGTGACGATGACACAATGGTGGTGGTGGTAGGGTGGCAATGACACAATGGTGGTGAGGGTAGATTTGTCCATCATCAGAAATTAATAAAATCATTACTGATTAACATTTTCAACATTAAGTGATATGTGACTTGTTATTTAAAATTCTAGCATATTTTTAAGAAGTGCTTAAAATATTAAGTAGTATGAGTTTAATTTATTAAGTGTTTAAAATATTCAGTTTTAAATCTTAAGTGGTGTTATTAAACAACCCCTAATGGATTACATGTATTTCATCCAAAGTTTTCTTCAAAACAATCAAGGTTTTCTTGTCAAAAACTTGGTTTTTTGTTTCTTTTTTGTTTTAGTACAATATTGGCTCAAATCAATGTGTATGACTATTTCATTTGTTTGAAGCTTTGTTTTGTTTGTTTCATTACAAGATGAGTACTATTTGCATTCATGACCTGGTTGTGCATTACTTAGCCAATGAATTTTCTGTGAACAATGTTGATTTTTGAATAGTACTCCTAGTTTAATATGTTAACTGATGTGTGTGATGTAGCTTTAAAAGATGTTCCTATTGGCATAAACACTTTTGAAGGGGGTGGTTCCCTTTATTATATGTGTTAAAACATTAAATAAGCTCATGTGAGTGACTGAGGCAAGGCACGTGGTGGAGACATCAGTTACTCAGTCAAATAGACCGAAGCCGAGCTATTCGATGAGTTCGGTAAGAAAAGAAAGAGGTCAATTTTCATTGCAACCAAGTTGGTTCAAACAGTCAAACAAAGAGCAAAATATTCGCCTATAACTTAGGCATCCAGGATAAGCTAATGGGCTTAATTATAGGCCAGACAAAGGGAATTGCTAGAGAGATTTTAGCAATTTTTCAAATAGAGTCGCCTAATTGAAAGAAGGTGTGCCATCTTGAATTAGAAATCGTGGAAAGCCTAACTGAACAAGGATCCATAGAGAGCACAAGGAGCCAAGGAGAAAGGTACGCTAAACTCTCCTTATCTATTTGTAATTCAATCAGTTCCATTACTGACTTAAGCATTGGAGTGCCTTCGATCGAAGCATTTCAATCTTGGGCAGTTTGCTCGGTTTGCAGGAAGAAAAGACTGGGAGAATAAGTTCAAAAACGCTCTTTATCAGAAATATCAAATCATTTCCAGTGGGAGGTAATCTCACGTTTTTGCCTCCTACATTTTTTGGTGTCGTCTGTGGGAAAATTTTCATCAATTGAAACGAAAAGCCACAATGTCGAGACTTAGAAGTGTCATTGGATCACCTGTAGGCAGCTTTGCCTTGGGGAATTCCAATCCAGATTACAGAGTGTCACTTCCATCTGATAGCGATGTTAGATTGCATGTGGACAAAAGCCCGACTGGGCCCCGTGAGGATGACGAGATATCCTCAGCAAGTTTCAAATCATCTAGGGATCAAAACCAGCAAGGTGAAGATCGTGGTGAATCCCTCCGTGCCGAGGGGAAGAACCATTCCTTGGCAAAGTTGGTCCAATCCTTGCAGGATTGACTTGATGCGCATGACAAATTATTCAAGAAACCCTAGCCAGGGAAAAGTCTGATAAAAGAGAATGAGGAATTGAAAGCTAAGTTGAAGGAGATGACCAAAAAAGAGAAACAAAACAAGGAAAGTCGACGAGAGAGTCCTGAGAAAAAAAGGGAAAGAAGGGAAAATGTTGAGGATGATAAGAACAAGTAGAAACGACCCTGGGGATTGGAGAGTTTAACAACTGATTAAAGAGGCCAGAACAGAAATTGGCTAGGGACCTAGCCAGAAGAGCAACTGGAGAATACAGAAACGGTTTGGAGTCATCTCCTTTCACACTGTGGATCGAAAGGGGGCGAATCCCAAGTAAATTCACCATCCTGAACTTCAAGTTGTACGATGAAAAGACCGATCCAGCCTCCCACATCAGACATTATAGGCAATTGATGACCATTTATCGGAGAAATAAGCCATTGTTTTGCACCATTTTCCCCAGCAGCCTAGGGGAGTTAGCCATGAAGTGGTTCGACAGCTTGCCGATGGGGTCGATAGACGGATGGTCACAATTAGCCTAACAGTTCACTTCGTGGTTCATTACAAGCAGTAAACAACCCCAGGATGTCGGGGCTCTGCTGAGACTAAAGAAGCAAAGTAATGAGACTTTGTGAGAGTATGCTCATTGCTACTTGGAGACAATGAATGAAGTATATGCTTATAACCCCGAAATTGCAGTAGTATCCTTCAAAATCGGGTTGCCAAAGGAGAGCTCTTTATACCAATCTCTTACCAGAAGGCCTTCCACAGACTTGGAAGAACTGATGGCAAGAATCGAGAAATATGCTAAAGTCGATGACGACTTATCTAGAGATGTGGGGGAAGGATCATCAAAGTAGAAGGCATTTTGGTTGTGATAAACAGACCGAATCGAGTAGAGAGAGAAGAAAGAAGAAAGAAAAAGAAGGATTTCCTCTAAAGTCTCCTTTTATTGGAGTAAATACAGTATTCAAAGAGCAGATATATAAGATATTGACTCAGATCAAGGGGAAGCCATTTTTTAAGTGGCCCAATAAGTTAACAGGGGATCCTTCAAAAAGGAATCCTAATTTCAGGTGCTCATATCATCGGGACGTAGTTCATATGACTGAAAATTGCCAATCTTTGAAGCAGCATTTGGAGGAGCTGGTCCAGGTTGGACATCTTGCTAAATTTATTGAGAGTGGTGCTAGAACCGAGGGAGGGAGAACCGACCCACGAAGAGAATATACCACAAATGCAGGTGTAATAGATATGATTCATGCTACAACGAATCCACAAATGACAACAAATAATGCTGCTAGGGCATATATTCAGAGAGCCGCGAGGAAAGAGAAGTTTATCAGCTATGACTGACACCATAGGTTAGAAGTAAAAGGATTAAGGTGAAAGAATCAACTGAGGCCATCTGCTTCACCGAGCAGGATTTAGTCGGGGTACCTCAGCCACATAACAACGCGTTGGTGGTAACGCTTTGTATTACAAATTACGATGTGAAAAGGGTATTGATTGATCCAGGGAGTTCCTCGAAAATCAAGTATATGGACCTCTTCGAGAAGCTCAGACTCAAACAGGAGGATCTTAAACCCTCTAATGCTCCATTAATCGGCTTTAGTGAAAAAATATTTCTTCCTAGGGGGAGGATCACACTTCTTGTGAAGACTAGACCAGTCGGCGTCATAACCGAATTTCTGATAGTGGATACGGTCTTGGCCTACAATGCAATAATGGGGCGATATTGGCTGCATGAGATAAAGGTGGTACTGTCAACATACCATCAGATGTTGAGATTTCCTTCATCTGAAGGAATAGTGAACATTAGAGGAGACCAAGTAAGTTTCTGAACTTGTTTACTGGCCTCGGTCAAAGACAGAGATGAAGTGGAGGTTTGAGAGAGAAGTTCAGCAGCCAAGGAGACAAAATAACAACCAATTCTCAACAGCTAGGTTGATGCCACCGACCAAATTGTCATGAAAAATCCTAAAGTACCTTTAGGCATAGAGAAAGAAGTTACCGATCGAACAGTAGAAGACTTGTCTAAAGTACCTTTAGACAAGGACGGAGATCAGGATAAGGTTTTTTTGTTAGGAGCGTTTCTCAGCCCTGAACAACAAAATGAATTTGTCACGCTACTCAAAGAGTATGCTGACGTCTTCGCTTAGAGCACAAGTGAAATGCCTGGTGTACTGTCTGAAGTGGCATGTCACCAATTGAATATTGACCCTAGCTTCAAGTCAGTCAAACAAAAGCTTAGGAGATCGGCACCCCCAGCATCAAGAAGAAGTAAAAAGAAGAGGTAACATGCTTATTGGAATCTCAAACCATCAGGGAGGTTCAATACCTGACCTGGTTGTCGAACACGATTGCAGTCAAAAAGAAGAACGGCAAGTGGAGGGTCTATGTTGACTTCACCAACCTCAATAAAGCCTGTCCAAAAGACAGCTTTCCCTTACCGAAGATAGACCAGCTCGTTGATGCAACAATCGGCA